ACACAAGAAGTGACTACATTTCTTTACTGCTTTACCAAATTGAGAGCTTAATAAAGTAAGTCTACACAAAATTAAAATATTGCCATAGCTAATTTAATTGTTCCCGTATACTGCATAATTAAAATAGCATTTGTGAACTGATTTAAATTTTTCACTGCACTTGAACTATATGATAAAAAAATCCAACATGGAAGTATCTCTGCTGAAGCTAAGTCTGCTGAAAACCCTCATCTTGCTTTAACTTACTTTTCTTCCCACAATGGTCTCTAAATACCATAATGCTTTGTGAGCAGCAATCACTGCGAGCATTATGCCAAGTGACCCCAGTACCCCAGCAAACTGCTAGACCAGGAGTTCAGCATGACAGTGGTGCTATTTTCATACTCTGGAGCTCTGAAGTGATGTAAGTCATGGTATTAAACTGACTGGTTTTGCTTATACAAGAGAATCACTAGACAAGCTCCACCTTGGGAAAAAAAAAAAAAGTCAAGTGCTGTTAAAACCACTTTGGTAGTAAAAAAAAAAAGGCATATATGTAATAAGGACCATATTTGGTCCCATAAATTGTTATTTTTGTTACCTCCTGAGATATAACAGGATCTATATTGCACAGATCCTTGCTTTCTAGGGAAATACTCATGCCATCTGCTGGAAAGTTACGGAATTTAGCAAGTAATTTTTTCAGTGGCATTTTATTTTGCCAGGTTTTAGGTGTTAAATTCTTGCACTTGTTCTATTGTAAAGATCTGTAGGTCAATGTAATATAGTTCAAAGGCACTTAAGTCAGGTGGTCTGGCAACTGACAGCACCTTTTTGTACATTAAGAAGGTATTAAACAAATCACCAGCATAATTTGGTACTGATTATGTAGGCTTAACCCTTTCAAGTGAAACACCAACTCAGTTTATCCAGTCAGTTAACACTTAAGACTTCTTTTCTCCCCTCAACTGCCTGATTAATCATACTAATTTTATTATATGGTTGACTGTGACAAGAAACAAATTAAAATCAGATCAGTTCATGTGGATTACAGAAACATCAAAATCATCCGTAGATGATTCTAGATTTCTGGATTGAAATTAGTGAGATAATTCCACATTTTCAGTTCCTTGGACAAGCCTCTAGCTTGCATGCACCTTAGGTCAGCCTATAAATGCATCTTTAGATACCCCATAATTACAGGTATCCCAACATTCCTGCAGGGATAATGTAGGATAACTATCTAATAATAAAACAAAAATCATTATGGAGTTACCTAATAACTACAAAAAGCATTCTGCATCCTCAAAGGTTATGCAGAAAGCAGGACTATCCTCTAGATTTTACTATTAAATAATCTCCAGGTTCATATCAATATGATGTAAGGAAAAAAGACAGTATTTAAGCATCAAAATTCTCAGCTATATATAGCTAATACTTGCCTGCTCTGTTACTACTCCATGGCTAAGACCTGTTCTGAAGAAACAGAACTCATCTTGCATATGAAGTAAACTATCTTGCTATTCACTCCAGGTGAAGATATAGCAAAGAAACTGCAGAACACAGAGCTGAATAAGCTGCCTTGAAACTGCTCCCCATGTTGAGGCTTGTGGTGTCCTTAGGCAAACTTACAGACACCGTCAGTCTGCCAGGGATGGACAACTCAAACAGAAGCAGAACAGAGCGTGGTGGTTAGGAGCAGAGAGCAGAGTTAAGCTAGAGTTATAGGGACAGGAAAATGAATTAAAAAAACCGTAAAAATTGAACATTGTATCTCTACATCACTTCATATTTTTTCTTGCACAGAATTCCACCTTCCAACTATAGATGAACCTGCTCTGCAGATGAATCAGTAAATGAGGCTTCTGCCAGTAAAAGTCTTGATTGATTTATTTATTTACAAGGGTCAGAGGGTATATAATTAGAGAGAGAAGGGGTAACAGAAAGAAAGTGTGTTCTTATGATCGAGAAAACAGAGAAACTGCAGGAATAATGTTCCTCTGACACCAACAACGAGTTTGTATATGATTCAGGGGGGCTCACTTAAGAACAAAGGTCATCATAGACGGATACTAGGCAATTGGGGGGGGGGATGTTTTTGGTCATATTTTTTCATTTGTTTTTTAAAAAGGTGCCTGGGTCATGGTGAGGGTTCAAGTCTGACCTCGTCCCAGTAATGTATAAAGGTGGGCTAAGATCAGGCTAGAAAAGTCCTTTTGTTCTTCTATGAAGGATCCTGTGTAGCAAAGGCAGATGGGATGCCTTGTTACTATTGTTATGTGGCTCTGTGCTAAGGGGTACTGAAGGTTACAGCCCTGGCAGTCCCCAGAGGTACCTTTGAACCTGCATGTGAGCAAGGATTTTCATCAGCACAACTTGGCCAGACAAAGCAAGATTTTTTTATTCAGGTGCTGACTTGGGCATAATGTATGCACAGCATGTTTTTCATTTATTGGTTGCCCAAAATGAGAGAGCGCCAGGGCTGCAGAAATGCTGAAAATTCGTAAGTACACTCATGTGCCAAGTATGAAAATGCCTAGTACTGGAGGGGAGGGGGAAATATCTTAGGTTTCTTCACTTGGATGCACAAAATCAGTGAATGTTTTCTGAACGTGGCAATGTTAATGTAGTTGCACTCCTGTTCTCTGACCTGTGGTATGAGGATGATACAAACAGCTGCTGCAGCATTTATGGTGGATTACAGGGTGTTAGAGTAACAGCAGTACCATGTAAACATATCAAATGAAACTATTTGTTATCAAAATTAGTGCTAGGATCAGATTGAGTATGATCTATGACCACATGCTAAGCAAGAGAAATACAAATACGTGTTGAATGAACAGTGCCAGCTGAGCTTAATAACCTGTAGAAAAATTAGTATCCTGTCAAACAGTTATAAGACATATACAAGATAAATCTAAATCAAGACTGAATGGGCAATTTTAATTTAAGAATTTCCTTAGCTTTTCCTTCCCTTTAAAACATTTTAAGTTCTACTAATGGGTTTTGATTGAGTAAATATGTACAGGGTTGTTTTGTTAGTGCAGTGTAATATGAATTACAGTCAGACTGAACTGCAGCATTTCACATTATTTCAGTTCAAAGTCTATATATAACCAGCTTCAATTTTTCAGCACCCTCTAGAGTAAGCAGAAAGCTCTGGCAGCCTTTCCTTTCATCTTAGATAGCTGAGGTAATATACTCCTCTTTTCGCCTTTTTATTGGACTTCTTCTGAACATTTAAAAGTAGTTATGGAAGTATTGGAAAGAACTAAATTGAAACATGTTACATTATTAAGTGATCATATTATAAAAACAGTCCTTAAAATGCTTTCACATGAAAAACCTACTTCAGAAAAATCCTGTCAAAAGTTATAAGACATATACAAGATAAATCTAAATCAAGACTGAATGGGCAATTTTAATTTAAGAATTTCCTTAGCTTTTCCTTCCCTTTAAAACATTTTAAGTTCTACTAATGGGTTTTGATTGAGTAAATATGTACAGGGTTGTTTTGTTAGTGCAGTGTAATATGAATTACAGTCAGACTGAACTGCAGCATTTCACATTATTTCAGTTCAAAGTCTATATATAACCAGCTTCAATTTTTCAGCACCCTCTAGAGTAAGCAGAAAGCTCTGGCAGCCTTTCCTTTCATCTTAGATAGCTGAGGTAATATACTCCTCTTTTCGCCTTTTTATTGGACTTCTTCTGAACATTTAAAAGTAGTTATGGAAGTATTGGAAAGAACTAAATTGAAACATGTTACATTATTAAGTGATCATATTATAAAAACAGTCCTTAAAATGCTTTCACATGAAAAACCTACTTCAGAAAAAAACGCCAACCAAACAAAAGTTTTTACCTGGCAACCAGGGATAATATTTGTATTAAAGTGTAGCTTTACAATCCTGTGGCTGATGTTTCACCTACTGTAACTGCAAAAGAAGTCTCTGGAAGATGTGCTACAAGGTTTAGCAGTTGTATGCTCACCACTCTTGCAAGAAAATCAAGTCATCGTTTACATGAGGAAGGGTCGGCTCCTGCTGCCTCCCTTCACAGGTCCTCCATGGTGCTGCCTACTGACTCTCTTTTTTCCCCTTTACCATTTTATATCTTTTTACACTGGTGTTTTCCCTCTTGGATCCTTGAGCTGCTCCTTAATCCTATATCAATAATCTCACTTCTGTCTACAATTTTACTTTTATTATTTTGCATAATTCTCAAAATTTTGCGAATTTCTCAGTAGTCTGAGGCAAATACATGCAGCTGGCCTGTCTCAAAACTAGCCCTTGGGTCATAGACAGCTGAGTCCGTAGGAGAAGAATAACATATAATGAAAGCCAACTGCTGTTTCCTCCCTGCCCCCAGCCATCTCTAATCTTACGCTTCGGCCCAGGTGTTTCTGAAGACCTCCACACCACTTACTCCCCAGCTGAGCTTTCACAGGTAGGTTATGCAACCACTATTGAAAGGCAATACCGTCTCAGAAGACCTACCAGCTTTCACGAATGTGTAATTCAGGCGGTCTCCCAGAGCGCATCTGGGCTGCTTTGTTGGTAAAACACTAGAACTGAGCTGCAGCAAGAACCCAATAAACAGTAATACATCAATAACTCCTAACAGGAAGCTAAGGGTTGCAGAAGTACTGTCTTCTGTTTCTAAGATTGTAAATTTTGTTTTCAAACAGTGGCATTAAACTGCCAAGGAAGGGGCAACCATTTCGCTCTCGGTTTACACTGGTAATTCATTATTCATCATACAGAACTGGAGAGCTTAACTGAAGGTCTTTGAGAGAAGTCTCGAGCAATACACCATAGAAGCTTGGTAGCTAAGATGCTGTTGATTCTTTCCAAGCAAAATATAACTCGATCTAAAAAAACAGTTTGACAGTCTGTTTTTTTTTAAAACATGTTAATTTGTTTGAAAGAACACTGTAAAAAGAATTGAACATGGGCTTTACGTCTGGAAGTTACACTTGATACAGAGTTTTTTATTATTTTCATTACTAATGTCATAATATGTTTGCTGCTGCAACCAAGAACTTTGTTAAACAGGTCGGTGATGGAGAAAGACTAGTTCCAGTGCCCAGTCTCAGTGAAGCTGATAAATACCAGCCTCTGAGCCTTGTGATTAAGAAAAGAAAATGTTTGCTTTCAAAAAAATCTAAATTTGCTTCAACACCTTTCACATTAAAAGACATTCTTCAAGGGGAGAAAGAAATTTCTGCAGGTAAGATTTCTATCGTTCTTCAAAGTGGAAAAATGCATGTTTTCTAGTAAACAGAGAACAGTAGACATAGTTTAAACTGTGCAGTTAATGTGATGGTTCTTTAGTGCATGGGTAATAAAATTTGTCTTGTTTAGTCCTGTAATAAATATTTAAGAAAAAAGTACAAGTCAAACTGGTAAAAAAACCCCCAAAACTAAAAAAAAAAGACTCTCTGGAAAATGTAAAAAACCCAAATCAATTATACTAAAAAGCCTTGATATTTTCTGGACTAATATGAAACAAATGCAGTTAAGCCTTGTGTTTTTTCACAAATTGCAACAGATTCCTGATAGATGTATTGATGTATGTTGATTAATTGCTACTTAAAATTTGTTTTTAATGTTCATCTTTCTCTGTGTACTCGTTTTTAAGTTGAACTGGGCTCTGCACAGGCAGAAGCATTTGACAAACAGCTATGTGACTGAAGTAATTGGAATTCCATAAGGGTTTTTTTTTTCATGTTTGCAATCTTTTTTTTGAATTTAAGGAGCTTACCTGTGTTTAAATTTTCTTTGCTATGCAATATCCGATTTTTTTGTGGAGATTCTCTGAGAATTAGGAGGTGCAAAATTGAACTATACTGTCTGTATTTTTCCATACCTTCCTTTGAAAAGTCTGTGTAATTCTTGTCTACACGCTGTTTTCTCAAAACAGTTTCATTGCTTTATTTTCTTTTGAAAAAAGGTCCATTTTGACAAAAGTATTGATCACATTAATTGCACAACAATTGCATTAGTTAAAAACTCTACTAAGACAAACCACTATGAGCACAAGAAGACAAAAATACCAGTTGCCCCCACAAAGGGGTGATTCCAGGATGGAAGCATGATGAAAAAAATTGGAATCCCACTAATCCTACTAGTCTTCCATTCAGGACAAGTCAGCTGGCTTGTCCTGAATGAACAAAAATGGAAAAATCTCATTAAAAAGTCTGAGAAAAAGGTTGCAAAATCTCATTAAAAAGTCTCACAAAACACTAGTCTTTTCTGTAAAGGTTAGATGTCATGTGCAGAAAGTATTGTCCTTTAATGTAAGCAAAGAACTTTGTAATTGAATTTTCTTTTTTATGTGACAAATACAAGCATTTGCAATCTTTTTAGAATTATGAAAAATAGATGAACTTTTTTTTTTTGGTTAAAAATAAAGACAAACAGGATTCATACTAGATGACTTCATAATGTCAGTTTATCCTAAAAGCTTCAAAGGATTAAAAAAAAAGAGTAAAACCCAGACTTTCAAATGTATTTGGATGCCTAACCCCTGTGTTCTACCTGCTCTATTAATTTTAATTTGGCAACCAAGGCATTCTAATATTTTTCTGTTAGTGTAATGGAAATGTATTTAACATTATAAAGAAAGCATTATAGAAAAGCTTTGGCACCTATCTTTTGATTGTACAGTAAATCGATGCAAACTTTCAAGTAAGTCAGAATTAATCTGTTGTTTTCCTTCAAAATAAACTAACATAGTCCCTGGAATCATCAGGCATACATGGAAAGTGTGGTGAGTCTTTCTGATTGTGACAAGTCAGGTAAAAGGCAAAGTTCATGTTACTGGCACACCCGTGTCTCATTCATGTATTGCAAAAAAGAAGAAATGTTAGGTTCATTTATACTGCATCTAGACAAAATTCAGAACTCACAGTGGCTTTCAGTTTGATCCTAGTTTTAATATGCTGTGTGGCCTCCTCTAAGTCATTTTGTGTTTCAGAGTCTCTGTCATTAAACCCAGAACACACTACGTGTCTAGTTTATACAAGTATCAACAGCATACTTACAGGTAAAAGTACTTTAGGAGAATAATGATAAGCACAGAAATGTAGAAATAGCCCTAATCACCATTTCATGCCCAGGACATATCACATGCAGGAGCACGGGCACAACTCTGCCAGAGAGAGGCACAGAAATCCCTCAGACAGCTATGCACTCTCTTTCCATTAGTCATCAGTAGTAACACCGATAAATAAGTGCTCAATGTAGCTCTGAATTTCACATCGAAATGGTTAAGTACAGTAGGAACAGTACCATTTATTCTCTTCTTGCTGTGTAAAAATACAAAGTTCAGACTTTTCATCACGCAGCGGTTATCTTCTTTTACTCAGGTGTCTCGTCTTACCAGTTGCTCAACTATGAAGACAAATCAGATGTTTCGCTTAATGGTAGAAGAGGAAATCAGATAATGAATGATGTTGGGTTTGATATTGCTGGATCAGATTCTGTTGCCTTTAAAGCTTCGTTTGGCATAGTGACCAAACATGAGGTTGAAGTACCAACATTACTTAAAGAACTTACTACAAGGTTATATTATATATTTTGTTTTCTGGTTCCATAATTATATTTCATACAGTTAGGTTGAATGTCTGAAATGGTTAGGTTTTGATTATTTTTAGCCAATCAATAGCAGTCACCATCTGATATTTTGCAAGAGTCTCAGGCTGGATCACTGGGATTAGACACATGTCCTTCTGTATAACACAGACTGTAGAATTTTTCTGAATTAATTCTTGTTTGAATTACAGTGCATCTTTGAGGGAAAAAAAAAAAAAATCCAGAAAGAGTCCATCCAAGGTCCTATCTATGTTATCCCATACTATTGAAAATTTGAAATTTACTTTGAATGACATTACCCAACTTCAGGTTTCAGAAACAGGATTTCTTTGCCTTTGTCTGATGAACTAGAGCGCCATATGTATTATTGCCAATGTAGATACTTCAAGTTTTATGAGGCTATTACAGAGCCTTTTCTTTCCAGAAAGAGTCCATCCAAGGTCCTATCTATGTTATCCCATACTATTGAAAATTTGAAATTTACTTTGAATGACATTACCCAACTTCAGGTTTCAGAAACAGGATTTCTTTGCCTTTGTCTGATGAACTAGAGCGCCATATGTATTATTGCCAATGTAGATACTTCAAGTTTTATGAGGCTATTACAGAGCCTTTTCTTTGAAAGGCAAAGTAGGTTTATCTACTTGAATTTTTCATAACCTTCTGTGGCTCTTCTCTAAATGCAGTCTCCATTTTTCCAACATCCTTGTTGAGCTGTGGACACTGAAACCAAACTTGGTGTTCCTGTAGTGCTAGCACAAATGTCAAACACATAGAAATATGATGTCACTAATTCTAGGTGTAATTATCTAGTTTATATTTCAAAGATTATCCCGTGGCCACAATGTCATCCCAGTGAATCCCAGTGTTGCATCCCAGTAAATTATTTACTATGCATGATGTGACATTTGGTATTTTCAAATATATATTGTTTCCTTGTAGTTATTTACCAAGCAGTGCATGTCATTTTGTATCTGTAACCTCTCTTGTTCTGTACCTACCTTTTCCTGGTTTATTTGTAACCTCCAAACATTATCATTAATAATTGGGGGTGGGGTGGGGGAAGAGGTCCTAGTCTCCTGATAAAAATATTCAATGTTATAGGACTAAGAGCCAATGCATGTAGAGAAATTCTTACAACCACTTGTTTCATGATTGTTCCATGTTTATAAGTTATATAGTTTTTTCCAGTTATAGTTGACATGTATCAGTTAACCAGTTTTTAATCCATTGAGTGTATGCCAGCTTGTATAGGCATCATTTAGGCTTCTAACAAAAACATTGCATCATCATAAGCTTTATAGAAGCCCGAAGGTACAGCATTACAGCATTGCTTTTACTATCTATTTTCCATAAATTCTTACTGACTGACATTAATTATATCACTTAAAAAAAAAAAAGTTATTAATTAATGTGTGTTGACAGTTCCTTACTGTCACTAAGAACAATGTCAGATGGACAGACTTGGAATTTTCCAGGATGTCCCACATTGCCTCTCTAACATTTGTACATTACTGGCTTTCCTTGAATTTTTTAGTGCTTCTGTTCCCAAACACTGAAAATCAATATTAAGTTCCCAGAGACCTCTTCAGTCAGTTGTTTTACTGCTGTGAGACAGAAGTTGCGGTGATTTATTTACTGATTTAAAATTACTAATTCTAGTAGCTGCTTTGTAAATTGCTAATAATCTCTGAATTTCCTTCCTGCCTCCCTCTTGATTTTAGAAAAATAAACTTTGATCATTGTCTAGTCCATCAATCAAGAAAAAGTAGGATGGAAATTTTGTGCGTGGTCATGGAAAGTATTAGAACTACAAGGCAGTGCTCATTAACTGTCCATACTGGAATGCGTGGAGAGACAATGAGGGTAAATATGTTTGACAAAGTTCTGTAACTTAAATTAACAAACATAAAAAGCTCATTTTTTAAAATTTTATGGTTGGATTTAATTGCATTTTTACTGATGTAAGCGCAGAAAAAAATCTGAAGTAAATCAGTATTATTGCACTGATGTAAACTGAATTAAAAGTTGGTCTTTTGTTAGTATTGCTTATGTGACTGAAGGATGGGAAATGCATGAAAGGATGGCTAGACAATGAGCCATTGCTTTGGGTGAAGCCTCAGCAAAAATTTGGAATTTACTTCTTAGTTTGAATCTCCAATAAACGTATAAACTATCTTTCATTATTATATTCCTCTTCTATAACACATTGGAACTTCAGGTTGTTATTATTTCAAGGGTCGGCATCTTACTCCCTGTCTTATGTTCTTCCTCCCTCTCCCTCTCTCTCTTCAGTGTGTTTGAATAATTGAACCTACAAATCTTCTGATGTTTGCCCATTACTAGTATTTATAAATCATTCATGTAATTTTCAATGAGTGATGCAAGTTAAGTTACTCTTTTTCTATCAAACTTTATTAAAATGCAAAGTTGTTAATATAAAATTCTTTAGTTGTGAAATTTGATCTTCAGTTTCAAAGCTTCCTCCTGGCATTATAATTCTCAATATATACTGTTAAGATATTATTTTGTTTATTTTTTCATTTCAATTTGTAACTTTTTTCTTTTGATGCTTTTCTAAATTATAGTTTCACATTATTGAAGATCAGAATTATAAAGGGCGGGACAAAGCCATTGTTTTTCCTGCACATACAACTATTGCTTTTAGTGTATTTGAACTTTATATTCATTTGGATGGTAATTTTGGTAAGTGATGTGCATTACTGTCATTACTGCTATTATTTATGATGATCTGAGTTTTTAAAACAGCTTTCTTGCTCTTGATATACATAAGCCCCGATCCCATATATGCTTTAATTTTATGCATGTAAGTAGTCTGTCTTTCTAAGAGAAACAATTCTTGAAAAGATAAACAAGGCAGGTGCTAGAAAATAGTCTGTTGTGGAAACATGTTTTAAAAGTTAAGTATGATTTTGTAATTTTTTTTAAAATCCCGCAGTTGCATGGAACAAAAAATCACTTCCTTATATTTCTAGCCTGTAAGGAACAGGCTTATGAGACCATCTGATTAGTTTTGCATAAAATAGGCAAGTAAAAAGACCCAAGTAAAGAAGCAAGCGTGCAGAACTTCTAAACTAAGCTAACATTTTTTCTGTTGGGGCTTTAAGTTCAGTCTGATACATCATTACCACATACGGATACCTGAAGATATTTAGGAAGAAATAATCATAACTACTGGAAACTAATAAAAAAAATTGCATAGCTCCTGTAAGATTTTCTCCTTTTGGGGAAAGGATAGCACTTACGTATTTACATTATTTGCACTAATTAAAGTGTAGCCTATAACATTATCAATGTTATCAACATTATTTGTAATAAACCAGAAAGTCAATTTAGGATTTGATCTAGTACTTGATAATATCAAATGCAAAACTCCCCACCCACTAGAGTAACGTTAGATGAAGTTTTAACCACCAGATTCACGTGTACTTAAATACAGGAACCTCTGTGCGAGCCACTCAGCTGTTTCAGGAATTGCTTGACTCTCTCTAACATTGTGGCTTTCTGTACATAGCCAGATAAAAGACCTGTTTAGGCAAGTAATCTCTCTCTCTGCAGATCTGTACAGCACTATGTTTTAAAAGTTGCAAATAGCTCCCGTACCCTTTGGCATACACAGTATAAAACTTCCATGACAGGTACTCTGCATTGTAAAGTACCTTGTTGCTGAACTGTGAGATACCTTTACCCTTCTGTAAAAACTTTAAATATACTCCAAGCTAGGCGTAATTACTGGATTAAAAGACATAATACAATTCGGTAGCTCTTTGTATTCAGTTCCATAATGCTTAGCATTAATTTCAGTTTTGGAAGTGTTTTAATTTTATTTTACCTTTATGCAATGGTAGGTACATGCACAGTGTTTTTCCTAAAGTCATCATCAGTGAAATAATCAATGAAGCCGATATTTGTATTTGCATAATTAAAGACAGTTCTCAATTGAGAAAGTTTAAAACATGTTTTTTCAGTTCCTTGTAATTGATTATCCTTATATTTCACTTTAAAGGTTTTCTTTCAAGTTATGGATAGAAACTTAGGTGATACTTATTTTTATTTAAAAAAAAAGTTTTAGTAGTTGATTCGGTGTTGGAAGAGATGACTACAGAACTCACAGCCTTGCTTATTATTTTTCATTTTAGTTTCACATGAGATCATAGAAATGTTTCTCCTTCAGAAGCGGGGCTTCTCTGTTTATGATATTGACTGTCTTAGTCCCTGAACATGGCCATAAATTGTGTATAAACAAAAACAAATGCTGACGGTGTATGTTGAAAGCCACCAACATTTTAAAATTCCCATGGAATCTGTGATTCTGCGGGCTATTACTGTGTGCAGACTTGTATTAACTAGTGGTACTAGCCATTAAAAACATTAGCAAAGCTGAATTTAATCACTGTTAGCTTTATAGATTAGAAGGCATAATGGCCATAAATTGTGTATAAACAAAAACAAATGCTGACGGTGTATGTTGAAAGCCACCAACATTTTAAAATTCCCATGGAATCTGTGATTCTGCGGGCTATTACTGTGTGCAGACTTGTATTAACTAGTGGTACTAGCCATTAAAAACATTAGCAAAGCTGAATTTAATCACTGTTAGCTTTATAGATTAGAAGGCATATTAAACTGTTGTGCAATTATTGATTTTATATTTTGTTCTTCTAAAAACTTTTTAATTTTTACAGAACTCTGTGTGACTCCAATTTCAAAAGGAGGATTTGAAAAAGAGAAATCTGGATCATCTTCACTGACTTCACTGACCAAATTAAGGAGGTTAAAGAGTAATCTGTTTCATCGAAGTACGACTTTTGATATTTATATCCAAATGTCTTAGTTAATGCATGAGGAGTGTATTTCTGTTTCTTTGTGTGCAAGATGAATGTTTAAAGAAGAAAATTTTGATGGAAAACGTACCTCAATTTCTTGTGTATTGAAATGATTGTAAAGTGATGAAAATTTATATTTGAGAATCTGACTTTCACAAATAACAAATTTATGGTATTACTGTTCATTAAAACTCTAAAGATCTTAAAATAAAAATTTATGGTTGATGATAAACTGGTATGGAGTAATTACACAACTAACTTCAGTTAACGTTAAGCCTATCTCATATGCTTGCCCTTTACAGCTAGTGTTATGCAATGCAAGTTATAATCTATAAATAATATTTCAGGGCAAACTCTTTAACTGTCAAACAATATTAATTTAAATATTTGAATATACTCTTTAGGCTGTAAGGCAGGGACATGGGCAAGATACCAGCATAGTTCTCTTTTCTTATTCTGATATGAACACAACATCCAGCAAAACTGAGTATCGCTGTATGTAGCTACATTTTCTTCAGAACAAGATCCTATACTTTTAACACTCCTTGGTCTAAGTCTTTTGGAAATCTGCAAATCTGAGCGTGAAGATAAATGTTGAGCAGTAAACACATCCTTCTAAAGGCTGGTCTGGATAGGTGTCCTTGCTCCATTGTATCCTGTTCTTGAAGGGCTTTTATGGACCAAGCCTTCAGCGCCGCTCCAGTCCACACTAAGGGAATAAATCTTCAGTAGGTATGATACATCTCAGTAGCTGTAGCTGCCTAAAAGTTTGTCACCCAATCTAAACTAATCAATCCCTGAAGAGAGAGGGAAAAGGTAGGTAGTTCCAAAAGTGATTTCTTCCTGGGGTGTTTGGATGCTCAGAAATCTGCTAGGAGGTCAACATGGTGTCCTCCAAATTTTCTAAACCTTTTAAGTATTGATGGTTTTTTTTGTAAATACTAGAGAAAAAAGTGAATTTATGATTTTTAGAAAATAAATATGGTTAAATAAAATAAATAAATATGGTTAAAAAAATAAAAATGGTTAAACAGGAAAGTACGCAGCTGTGATTTGATTTGGCACTAATTTTTCAAAAGCTTGCCTCATGCCTATCTTTTAGGTGCATTTCTAAAAATATTATATATTTCATATACAAAAAATTTCTGGCTTTTGTCAGTGTCTTTTGTGAAATTAAAGAAAAATTTTCATCACACAGGGCTTTTGATGGGAAGTAATCTACACCGTGGCATGTTCAGAATGGTTTCATGAATGAGTTGTTATTTCCACAATTAGGTTGACAGGTTGTTTTGTAAACAGTTCATAATGTAATGACAAATCATTGCTTCTTTTTTTTGTGCATTCTTTTTCAGATAAAAGAGTAGTGGATACCATTGCTAACTCTGATGCTTACTTGGAGGACCTTTTTACAGATTATTATGAAAAAGCTGCGAGCATGACTGATCTCTCTACAAGCTATCTCAGAGAAGGGTCTCATATCCGAATTAATTTACTTAATAACAACATCCCCAGAGGTCCCTGTGTCCTTTGTGGAATGGGAAGTTCTAAAAGGGAGACAGTCTACGGATGCCTAGAGTGTTCTTTTAACGGACAAAAGTACGTACGGCTGCATGCTGTGCCCTGTTTTGACCTCTGGCATAAGAGAGTCAAGTAACTGAGCTAGGTAAGTGCCTGTTGTCACAGACAGGGGCATAACTGTGCCACAAACTTTTCAGAATTAGTAAATATATCTCAAATTGTTGAAAGGCAAAATAGTGAAAGTGCAAAACATTTTATTACACTGTTATCTTCAGATTATTTGCTTCACAGTCAATGACCTTTTACTTGAAAATGCCCTCGTGCATTCCCTGACATTGCTCTTCTTTCTAGAACCTTCTCCTTTTATTATCATAATGGAAAATGTACTTTTAAACTGTATTTTCATAATGTCAAAATATATGCTAGAACTTACTTTAAGTTGTTTACACAAACTTCTTGTTAAACCCCCAAACGTTGCCTTTATCTACACTGGCATATGATGGTAAAATGAGAATATTTGTTAATAATTCAGTGTTCTCATGAATGTTTAATTGAAGTATCAGATTAAAAAACATGCTAAAACTTAGCTTAGTCTAATGTTTCATTTACAAAAGGGAACAACTAAAAGTAGGGACAGGCGTTTCATATTAGGATGCCATTACCACATGTCAACAGTCTGTTTAGATTACTAAAACGTACCAGCCAGCCCACCTTCTGCATTTGGATTTTAGATCACAGCTGCTCTTGACTTTCTTTTATGTGTTTAGAAAAAATTGCTTAGCAGAAAATGTTTTGGAAGCTTACGAAAATAACAGAACTACATCCTTCCAACAAGACTTCAGGGGTGAAGGTCTTTAACCAGTAGATCTCAACCACAGAATATTCAGTCTGTGTTGTTGAGAATATAAACACCAGAGGGCACCGCAGAATTGTGTCCAATACTGAGATGGGGAGCGCTGTCGGTGAGTATACTGCTGAAGCTCTCCCCATGCTATTGTAAACTGGGGAAACAATGAAAAAATGTTTTTCTGTCTTTTAGAATTATTTTAAGGCTAAGCCAGGTATGGAAGCTTTTTTACTTGTGCTGCCACTTTCACTGTGTACATCTGATTATTACATGCTGAAACGAATACAGCCATTGCTTTTCACATGAGAAGAGTGAAGTATGTTACACAAGTATTTTGACGACATCTGCATCAGCAGAACAGTTAACTAGCCTGAAGTACTATTAACTATTGTTACTTCTTTGCATTTTTCCAAAATGAGGGAAACCAGAATGATGCCCAAATAATTACTTACCTTTATACAGAGCATCTCCCATCATCTTCCACCTCATCCAAGTAAAACACGATAGTGTAGATTTTTAACTTGGCGTTGCTAAATAAACTGGCTAACTTAGTAATTTTACTAAGTCAAAGTTTAAAAACCCACTTAAAATACTGCTTTTTCATGAACACCAAATTATTCACGTTAATATTACATCAAAGAGATTATTTTAAGTTGCTTTAAACACATTTGTTTTTATCTTGACATTCCACAGACAGTGTTCATTTATTTTAAGGTCTGTTATAGTTAAATTTTCTGCAAACAGCAATTCCTCAAGAAGCTAGCCTAGAAGCCTGCAGAGGTTTAACAGAGTTACCTTCCTGGGATTCTGTTTTCCCCTTGTATTTTACAGGGGATTGAGAAGTATTCATCAGTTATGTTCTAACTATGTCAACAGGTACTGGAACCATTTTTGTGTGCTTGATAGGACAGAAATAATTATTTTCATCAGTATTTTACACAATGAGAAAAACTACTGAGCAATACTGTAGATTAGGACATGACGCAGGAACCACTAATAATAGATCATGGTGTTTTCCAATTTTATTTCTTTCTTTTGAAATATCTAACACATTTTATTAGGTGAATGTTAAAAATAAGATTTTTACAGTCAAGTTAAGAGATATAAAAAGACGCCACTATAAAAAAAAATACAGAAAATTCTGTGACAAAGTATTATTATTTAAAATTCAGTGTCCAGAAAACAGCCAAAGATGTTTTAAGTACTTAGAGTTCATCATGCTGGTAGACATTGTACTCCTTTGCTGATATGAAACCATCTCCATCATGGTCATTCTTCTTAAATATATCAGCTAAGATTTCATCATGGACTGAGGGATGACGTTTTTTGCCATCTCTTGCAAATTCTTCTTTCAAATACTGGCTTATCTAGAAGAAAAGAAAAAAGCCCAACCATCGTGGCTTTTACGCCAGTACTCAACAGCTATCTTCGAGGACACTTGGGGTATATATGTAAGTTATTGTGACTCCAATGCAGACGTGTCTAAAGTTTGTTACCCAGCAAGTCTGAGACATACTACTGTATTAATCAAAGCAAATTTCAACGTTGCACCATGTAGTTTGTGTAAGCATACAGAAGCTTTACATGATGAACTGCAGCAGAGGCAGCTCATGTAAAGATAATGCTGATGCAGCTATACCTATCGTTTTATAAATTATTTATTCCAAATTAGTTACATCATATTACCTCAAGTTCAGAGAGTTTCTTGTCACTGTCCTTGTCTATTTGATGAAATGCTTCAACACTGCGAGGCCCCTTATTTACTGCATAAAGTTCAATCTCAAAGATCAGTGTTGCATTGGGTGGAATCTTGCCCTGTGCTATGAATAAAAGAAAAAAAAGCATTTAAGAAATCAGACACTATGGTCAGAGATCACACATGTGATAAATTTACACATAAAGTGTCTTATTTTTTTATTACAAAAGGCTGTGTTAATATTCAGATTAAACTCTGATTTTAAATATCATACAGCTGGACAGGAATATTGTTCAGATGGTGTTAGATAAATGATTTTCAGAGAGATCTGCAAACAGTGTACTTCCCTGGAACGAAATTATATTGCTCACATCAATTCAGGTACTTTGAAAAATTAAGAGAAGGGTTTGTGTTATTATGAAAAACAAGTATTTCTAAAGTTCTCCCTCTTTCACGTACTGTCATATGATGGGGCTTATTGAGAGACTGAGTCTAAGACGTATGCCTTCATAAAATATCTGCAATCTCATTTAAAAGATTACGGTAATAGACCAATGCTCATATATATTTTCTGTCTGAAGAAATAAGAAAGCAGTATCAGGTTTTACCAACTTACTATGAATTATACCTATGGTTAAAGGACATTATGTAAAATAGTGTTTAAAATATACATCTCACTAGAAGGAAGCAATAGAATGTAAGTCACCTGATTCACAAAAAGAAAAAAAGAACTACTGGAATATTTTGTCTAGTCCCTGAAGAAAAAAAAAAATCATGTTAGACTTCATTATTCTTTTGTCAAAGCATTTTCTGATATCTGATGTAAAAACACTACTGCCTATAAACACAGGTCATTGTTCCAAGCATCTGGCAAAAAAAAAAGGGAACTGAAGAGAGACAGTAACAAACTAATGAGGTCTAAAAGTAAAGCCAAAAAAGCATCAAGAAATCATGCAGTGTAAAATTAAAATGTAAACATGCAAGTTGCTTCTATTCATAGCCAAAGCCAGCGAGCATGACATTGTAACCTCGGAATTTTGACAGAATTTTGAGCTTGTGCCTGTCCTTCATAAACTGAAGAAAAACTAAACAATTTACTTTGTTTATAAACAGAAGGTAAACAAAACTATTACTCACACTATTAATCTAAAATGTCCATAGTAAAAATGACAGGTTTCAGAGTTCAAAAGATTTTAATCTTACGATTTAAAAATGTAGACGTTTTAAATATATCTGAATATAAATCATGCTTTATATACTACTCACGAAAGAAATATACAATACTAGAATTCAGTGCCAGTAGTTTACAAATATACATACCAACAAAGGAAAGATATGTAAAGATTTAGAAAGCCACATGCATCTTTTCTAATTCAAGATTAGGCAGGCATCTTCCCCAGCATGCAGAAATACGCTGAGACAGAGGACAGGTATGCTGTAGGAAAATAATACATTCTTGAAGTGCTACCTAGAACAAACAGTTAACACTACTGTTAAAGTTAAAGAACATACTTTTATTTCTGTCAGTGTTTTTCCTTGTTGTTATGAGACTTACTTATTAAACATTATGCTCGAGGGGAAAAAAATTATTTCTAGTGAACTTCACTGGCTACAATGGAATTGTATGAAAGACAAAACTGGTGCATGGAATTCTGACATAATATCACTACCAAACAATCATCATAGAGCAGGAGCTACCTTTTCACAGAAACTACTCTACCCAAGACAGAGCTGAACTTGAGTTATCTACAATTAAGAGTGCTGAAACACTGCATAAAACTCTGACTAGAACTTTTTTTTTAACAGTAGACTGCACACTTAAGCATCATAAATTCAAATCAGATTTCATGCATTGTACTGTTGCAATTATGATGTAATGTCATGATATTGTCAATTAACTACCCAGAATGTAAGCAGTATTTTAAACAAATTATTTCTACTTAGATTAATTCTGTGGCATGCACTGGATTACATTCCATTTTGCTCAGAAGACACTGAATGTCATTAAAAGGCTAAGCAGGTAGGAGTCAAATAATAGAAACTAAACATGAATAGCACATAATAGATTAAGACAAAAATTGCTGATATATGAATCATGAAGATCTTCCTTTTGCTGTCAATTTTTTGTATTATGGCAATACTTTGAAAAACACATCGGATGCCATGTACTGAATTCTAATGCAGACTGGTGTGGGTCTATGATGAGGACTACTTAAACTGCATAGGAATGAGCAGGATTAGGCGCACAGCAGCAGTCATCACCTTCAGTGTCTCCAAAAATAATGGAGCACCAATTCTTACAGTCATTTACAATATTTTATGTTTGAAAGGGTAAAACAGAGGAAAGGCAAAGTTTAGTATTAAAACTTCTTTTTTACCGTATCCTTGCTGTCCATATGCTAATGACGGAGGAATGATCACTTTCCGTTTTTCTCCAGGACACATATTCATCATAGCAATATCTAACCCTTTTATGACTTGTCCAACACCCAGAACGAACCATTTTGGATGACCTTCATTTTGCGTCCGACTATTAAAAAGAATTGTGAGTGGATAACAGTGAATTTAGTATTTTATTTTTTTACATATAAAATTAACTTTAAATTAGCAGTCAGTAAAAATATACATTAGATACTTAGAACACAGGAATGTTTAGAGTGCAAGAATATAAAGTATTAACACTTTTTCTGCTACATTTATAATTAATTTAGGGTCAAATCTTGAGATGTGTAAGGGACAACCTCCTTTTGAAATAAAAAAAACAAGTAAAAAAACCTAACTTATTACAAAAACATCCAATCTTCCTGATCATATACACTGCATGCCAGAAACAAGGTGCCACTGCAGGAAGTTTGTGAGAAGAGGAGCGCTGGGAGCAATTCACTGCTAGAAGTGAAAGTATCTTCAGCATTTCACATCGCTGTAGGGTGGGATGGGACGGAGCATGCTGGTGTGTGTTGGGGGAACCTGGCAATTTTGGCTACAGTACTGTGTGCTCATCCACCGCTCTGTTCAGTTTAGATACGCAGTGCTTGAGCCAGCTTCTGGTCATATGAGGTGTCCCCAGTACAGGAGCTACACTGAATGGTGACTGAGCAGCATGTAGCTCAAAAGTTAGAGAGCAACGCTATATGTGCCAAAATCAGCCACTTCAACAGGCAAAAAAATGCAAGTAAAATGGTACTGTTAAATATAGAATTATCCTACACTGATTTTTTCTTAAACGATACAAGTGGGGGAAACGAATCAAGATTTTGTAATAAACTAGGCTACTGTCTGATCTGTCCAAATATGGGTAAGGACTGAGCCAGGTGCCTGAAGGAAAGAAAAGACTCTCCTCCATAGTTCTGCACAAGTGAGTCCTGCCTCACTAGTAGGATGCACCGCCATTAAAAGCAAGGCACTGTAAAAATAAAGCTTTTGCACAACGGTTTCTGTGCAAAGCAAGCTGAAGCAACTGAAACAGCCTGAAGATAGGTGAATGGGACAAAGTGAAAAAGCAAAAGCCTAAATGCTAACATTGGGGCAAAGAGGAAGTGTCCTGGTTTCGGCAGGGATTGGGGCAAAGGAAGTGTCCTGGTTTCGGCAGGGATAGAGTTAATTTCTTTTCTAGTAGCTGATACAGTGTTTTGGATGAGAACAAAGTTGATAACGCACCGATGTTTTAGTTGTTGCTAGGTACTAGGTA